CCAGCGGGGAGGTGGGAGGGTAGAGCACAGGTGGGCAGGATGTGGATGTGAAGGTTCATGGCAAGGTGTGAGGACCCCCTACATCCTACCACGCATGGAGCATAGCCCCCACCAGCAGCAGTAGGAACACCAGGAGGTGGTGGGCACTCATGCCCAGCACAGGCTCTGGCACCTAGTGGCATGTGGTTCCAGCCAGCACTGCACGCGGGAACAAGAAATGCAGCCTGGCTGGCCCTCCTTTATTGCGAGGGCTCCTCATGGCTCACGTGCAGCTTCTGGCACTCCCGCATCCCCAGGGAAGCCCCACATGCTGAAGCTAGCTGCCTTCCCCACCCTGTACTGTGCAGATCTTGGGATTTCACCAGAAGTGAAGTGGAGCCCCAGCCCCTGCTTCCATGCAGAGTCCCAGGACCTGTACAGCAGGGAGCAGGGAAGGCAGCAAACTCCAGCACATGGGGCTTCCCCCAGTGCTGCACAAGTGCCACGAGTTGCACGTGCATCACACTGAGCCCCGATGATAAAGGTGGGCCAGGCAGGCTGTGCTCCTTCCCTTGCATGTAGTGCTGGCTAGTGCCACATGCCACCAGGTGGCAGCACCTGCATCAGACACAAGCATCCACTGCCTGCGAGTATTCCTGATGCTACTGGCAGAGGCTGTGTGTCATCGGAGGGTATGGGGGGGTCCCCACACCTCTCCACAATTCCTCACACACACCCACACACACACACCCAACATACCCTATTGCCTCCATACCCCCCACCCTACACACACCACCCCCCACACCCCAGCCTACACACATACACACCCTACCACACCCCGACACACAATATACAAGTGTAAAACTTTATTTTTGAGTTATTATCCCGTCACCTCTATATACACTACACAAACACAAATCATGGCAAAAAACATTTTTGTAATAAAAAATGTTATAGTAGGTGTTTGAATTTTACTGCATAATTTGGTTTATTTCTGGTTCCAGGATGGCAACACTTTCATCCCAAAATGAGAATTTTGGGGCGGAGGTAGGGGGAAGGACTTCTGGTGGTAAAGGTCAGGGGTTAGCGGTGGGACTTCTGGTCCCAAGATGACAACCAGGGGATGGGGCAACTGTCATGGGGCCCTTGACAGCTCGCCAAAACTCCTTAAACAGCCCTCCAGCTGAAATAATTGCCTGCCCCAAGTTAAAATAATACAAGGATTGTAAACTATATGTTTGGGTCCCAAGTTGTTGATGGTGGTTAATGCTTTGAAGTTGGACCTTACGTTTCTTTGGGTTGGGGGAGTGGGTAAGAGGTCAAGTTGTCAGCTTTTTCTGTGGATGCCTGATGTGTCTAGCAGTGCATTAGTGACCCTGTAATGCTCTGGAGAGTGCTTTGAAAGCATGACTCTTTCATTCTTTAGATATGTTCTTAGGTTCGTTTTCCACCCCCTGCCCCCTATGTCAATATAAAATCATATATCATCTGTGCCCCCAAAAATGCTCTTTTACTATCTCCCAATGAAATAACAATTTAAAATTTGGTGCATGACTTCTCTGAGCCACTGCATTTCCCTGGCTCTTTATAGACACAAGCCTCCGAGCTCCTCACTACCGGAGCATGGCTTCATGCTACTGCACACTTCTGGATCCATGCTTCTACACGCACTTGGTACTGCTGACCAGCTAGAGTAGTGGCACAGAGCCAGTGCCATGCGGCTGTATGAAGCCACACGCTTTCATGCCGTTGCCCAGCAACATAGAGTTCTGGCCAGTCAGCAGTGCTGAGGTGTGTGGCAGCACAGAGCCAAGGGCATTCAGTTCCAGTAGCCCACCAGAGTACCGGTGCACCAGATGCAACAGTTCTGCAGACTAGATCCAGCCTGCAGGCCATGTGTTTGACACCTGTGGTTTAATAAACTTAACCCAAGGCTTGGGGTAAATTATAGGCACATATAAATGTCTTTGATAGTGAGAGTTGTTTCTGTATATTCATTAATATTCTAGTAAACAGCAAAACTGTTGCTATTGTTAATTGTGCTTCTTGCTTTCTGCTTTGCAGCTCAGAAATCTTGCTTTTAAAAAGATTCCTCAGAAATCCTCCCCTGGAGGCTGTCTATCTCAGCATGAGCAAACATTGTACAGTCAAGTGCAGAAAGATTCTCAGGAAGAAAATTGGCAAGAGTGGAGACAAAAAGATGAACAGGTACTGCTTGCTACTGTGAATTATTTTACTTTACTGTCTTATGGAGTAATACAAACTTCACTTATACATATCTGGTAAATGGCTTTGGCTGATTATTTCACATCAGTTGGAAGAATGCAGTTGCTCATCTCTTCTTATTTTTGCATAAATAAATCCCCAATGCTGCTCAAACTTCATAATTTAGTCTGATACGTTAAAATGTTTTCCAGTAGAGAAAAATCCCAAGAAGCATCTTTACCACCATTCTGAATATGAAAAGTACAGATTTAATTCCATTTCTTCCTTTTAATGCTTTGATATGCCAAGAGTGGTCTCCGCTATTCAGAATAGCAAGTTACTAAGCAGTCAAGTGCCACCAGGACTGCCTCATCTTTCAGTGTAAGATATTGGTTTATCATATACATGTTTAAAGTGTCTCCCCGGACACCCCTTTGGTTAATATATTTATGAAGAATAGTTTCTCTAAGGATCCCAGGTTCACTGACACTAAAAATAGAAGTAGGCTATTGTAATGTTTTACCACAGCTCCTTTTGGTAGAGCTAGCCAAGGTAGAAGATAGATAAAATACTTGGACCTTTCTTGCCTTGACATAAGACTGTTAAACAAATCATGTAATTTATCTTTTTAAGGGAAGTAATAATTCACTTCCCAGTGATGTAAGTAGGAGGAATATTCATAATTAAAACGAACTTTTCTTTGTTAATTGATTTCAGTGCTTCAGTGTTTTAGTTAAATATGGTCAATAAAAACACACATGTGCTTCTCTCATTCCTTTGTACTGGATCTTTGGCAGTGATGGGGGAATTGCAAGGGAGCCAGGAAGGGAGGAAGGAGTGGCATCAAGACCTGAAGTGAGGTGCCAGGGGGATTAGCAGCTCCCCCTTCACTCAGGGGCTGGGGAGGAGTGTCAAGTGGGACAGGGGAAGGCTGTTGCCCCTTGCCCCCAGGTATGGAATCTGTACCCCTCAGCCCTGCTGGGCTGTGTGTGTGCATGCATGCATGTGTGTGTATGTGTGCCTGGGGGGCAGCTGGAAGTGGGCATACTCCACCCCCAGTTCTTGCCCCCAGGGGCAGGACCTGTATCAGGGTCAGAGCCTGAGGGGACCTTCCTCCTGCCTGCTCCACTACACACATGCACCTACACACAGACACATGCTTCCCTGCCCCTTCCTCCCTCCCACTGCTGCATGCATAAGCAACATATCTCCTCCTCCCTCCCCAGCAGCAGTGGGGTGGGCATGGGGTGATAGCACAGGAGGCCTGGTGTGGGGATGGGAGCAGGGGGCTCTTTGAGGGATGGTAGGCAATGGCAGCAGGCTTCAGGGAGCAAGCACAGCATGGTGCAGGGGCAGAGCTGCTGGTGCCTGAGAGTTGCTGCTGCCACTGCTGCCTCTTCCTCCTGCACTGCCCCCAGCCCAGGGCCTTTATGGGCCCCTGCTCAGCCAGCACTGTTGCAGTACCGACCCTCAGGGCTGCAGCAGGTCTCCTGCTGCCTCTGCTGTGTCTTCAGTGCTGCTATGTGCAAACACATGCCACAAGATTGGGGGGCAGAGGGGAGGGGAAGGTGCCCAAAGCCCAGGACAGAGCAACACCTACAGCAGGAGCTGCAGGGGTGGGGGATTGGGCTGGGTCTCTTCCCAATCCCACAAGCACTCACCGCACTACACGCCTCAGCCCCCACTGCACTCCATCACTGGCTGCAGTCCTGTGAGCCAGCGCTGCTGTTGCTGCAGCTGGTATCTTCTGCATGGTGGAGGGAGAACAGTGGGGAGTGCCAGCTGTGGCCCCTTTTTCACTGTCTGCCCCGAGGTGCATGTGCAACTGCTGCCTCCACGGAGCCGAGCCGGGGCTCTGGACCCTGGTGCACCAGTTGCAGCCTCCTGGTTGCCTGCCACATCCAGCCTGGGCTCTGGGCAGTTGCTGCCTGCCATGGACCCTGAGCTGCTTGCAGCAGGGCTTTCAGCCTCCCCTTCATGTGCTTTGAGCAGCCCACACTCCATGGCCAGTGGCAGCTGCCCACAGTCCAGGCCAGCTGTAGCATGCTGAGCAAAATGGCCTCACATGCTACGTTCCGGCTTGCGTGCCAAGGGTTGCTGACCCCTGATTTAAATGATTCCACCCTTTTCTTGTAGGGCAAGCATGTTTTCTCCATTAGTAACATCGTATTCATGTAGAATTGGTAACATCACAGTTCGCTGTGGATTATGCCTTATGAGGTGCCCTAGTAACTGAGGGTCACTATTGACTAGTAACTCATCTTGGTTGTTGTATACCTCTGCTGTGTCCTTGGTGCTTCTAGAAAGTATTGCTTTTGAACATGTTTCACCCATTCACTCAGGTGAAATCAAGAAATGAGGGGGTATGTCAGAACTGTCTTTAGCATCTTATGTAACAGACCCAGAAATGAGTTGGATGGGGTATACTTGAGTGCTGGAGCCATGGTGCAGAAAAGTCTGGAAAGATTTACACAACATTCAGGGAATAGGTTTGAGTTTGAAACTATTATTTGAGGATACTATATGACTTTGTTAACAGGTACCTGAACTCTTTTGCCATGTAGATGGATGTATTCAACCTCAGACGCATCAAAGAAGGTTGTTCTGTAGCTTTTCCTTGAGCAAGAATTCAGAAAGCTGTGCTGGCAGATGGTCAACCACTAAGTGAAAACAGCATTTGCAGCCTAGATTAGTGAGGGTTATTTAATGCTTTTGAGGTTGGCGATGTGATTCTTGCAGTGTCAGGTTCTCATCCCTTCTGTGCTTTTTGATGAGATGTATTTTGATTGTCTAGCAGTGTATTGGTGAGCCTGCAGTGTTTTAGAGACTTTCATGAAACTTAAGCTGTAGAATGATCTTTTTTTCTGGTTAGGCTCATTTTTTCCTCTTTCCAATAGGTAGGAAGAATTCAACATTTGTATCTTAAATGTCTGCTCTATTAAATATTAATTATAAAAGAGGATAAACACTGCACTTTGTAAGTAGTTATTGGACATCCTGATGGTTAGATCATCCTTAACTTAGCTGTCATACACTTGATTCTTGGTTTATTTTAACCCACAGAATATGTAGGGCACATAACTTGTGTAGAAGTTATCTTGTGTTTTCCTTTCACTTTTAAAAAGTCACTTTGTAACTATGACATTGCTCTGAAGTATACTATTCCTAACAATGTAGTCATGAGAAGACCGTTTTTACTAATTGATAATATACAATAGCACAACTAAATTGGAGGTCATTGCAGTTTTTGAGATCTGAAGTGTGGACTGTCTGTAGTAGAGCTTTGAGCATGCTGTAAGTCTAAACAATCTTCTAGACGGGGCGGGGGGGTTGGCAGTGTTTTTTGGTAGGTGCAGCTGGGGTCCAGAATAACCCATCTCAGACTCAAGATGGGTAGACACTAGGACCTGGTCACCTCAGGTGATTCTCTCTGCCAGTGGGCAGTACAGTGTAAATACAGCTCCTTCACTGAAGCCCCAGGCACCCAACTCTGGCTTAGCATAGGGAGAGCTCCCCCTCTGCAAGTCCTGAGTGTCTAGCTTAGGCATAGCACAGAGCCTCTGCGGGCTGGGTCCAAAGGCTTTTCAGGCTGTAGATTGCTAGCCCTGTTCTAGGTTTGTAGCAGATCAGGTGTTGTGAAGGGACACAGTTATAATGGCGTGTTTTGGTTAAAATTGACTGGTGAAATTGTTATTTGTCTTAAAGTTGTTCTCATTGGCTACAGAGGTATTATGCATAAAATAAAGCAGTTAACTTCTCTGCTACCCCAAGCAAGTCATCACAGCTTGTTTTTTAAAGCTTTTGGGCTTGAAGTTAAATTCTAATTGCACCTAAAAGCAATAGTCAATGGGGCTTAGACTCCAAAGTGACTAAAACACATTGGAAACTTTCCTGAGAAACTTGGTTCCCCTTTAAATGAAAACTTAATTTGGGAACTGATGGGTCTCCAGGAAAGTGTTGGCACTGTGTCACTGAATGCTATCTTAATTTGATTCCTGAAGATGCATTTGAGTATTGCTGTAATTTGGGTGAGTATTCTTAACAAGTGTTGACATACTTTGTGTTCTCTGTATGATATATTTTATCAAACAACTTTCTATCTTGAAAATTTATTGACTGGTTTGTTTGTTTTTCTTTCCCCCTTACTCAGTTTTAGTGGTTGCCAGTAATGCCTGCCAGTGCTATAATGCAGGGCTATTCAACTTCTAAGCTTTCAGGAGCCACATGCCACAGGAGCTGCATGAGGTGTGTGAGCTGCACCAGGTGCACCAAGTAGACACTTTCCCCACACCCACTGCTACACTGGGCATGATTCCCCCCTCTCTTCACTGCCCCATGCTAATGTAAGAGTGATTCTCCTTCCCCCCCTCCTTCCCAACACTACACACCTACATGGGAGCTCCTACAGAATGGGTACAATCCTTGTCAGTCTCCCCCTCCCTCCCCCCACCCAGTTGTGGCCACATTTTCACCATTGGCTCCCACCCACCAATCTTTGATCTATGTTATGATGATCACTTTGGAATGATCATAGTAATGTACTTGCACAAATTCTGTTATTGATTAATTAGTCTTACGGCATATGTCCAATATACAACTCTTAATAGAATTACAAGACTTTAAGGCTTAGATCCCATAAAGAACTTAGGCTCTTAAAAGATAGATGCTGAAATTCCTGAGTCTTAGACATTTGGCTCCCAGATTGAAATTCAGAATCTTGTGCTAGATGCCTTGCTCCCCTTACAAAAACTTGGGGAGAGTACAGATATGTTTGCACTGCTCAATATAGCACTGTGTAAAGATACTTTGGGTTAGTTGTGAAACTTCTGTCTAGTGTGCCAAAATTTATTTGGCACCAGGCAGTGCCATGCAGAGAAAAACCTTGCACTAGTTCTGGAACCAGAACCAAAAAGTCACTAATATAATGCTGCGCTCCAGACTAACCAGTCCTGCTGAGAAGGCTTTACTGTCTTTAGGTCCAGAGCTATCATGTGCATGCCTTGTACCCTGTATACATACCCTTAGGTACCCCAGAATAGGACCCAAAACAGGCAGCATGTGAGTAGGGTCAGAATCCAAGACTCCTGCCTTCTACAAGAGTGTCTTAACCCCCAAGCTCTCATGTTGCTGGCCCAACAATGTTTTGAATCTTTCTTGAATGCTGGCATGGAAGGACAGAGTACCCTTCTTTACAAGCCTAGCCTCCTAGCTAGTGGTTAGGAAACTCTGTCAGAACTGGGAATTGTACTTTTGAACTCTTTCTGGTTGAGAGAGGCATTGAACTCAACTCTCTTGCTTCCTGAGCCACTAGACCACTCCTAACCATTAGATCATAGTATAAAAAATGGACAAAGAACAGCAAAGACTCCGTATGCCTGAAGAAGGGTTCTTGTGCCTGAAAGATTGCAAATAATGTTTTTGCAACTACTCAGTTGGTCTGATAAAAGATATCATATTTACCCAAAGAAGTTTGCCTGCCAGTATAAAAAATGAACATTCTTCTGCAACTGCTGTCAATGTTTCCCCTAAGGCTTAGCGATCTGTGAGCAATCTTAGCTGGGAGTGCATGGGTATCTCAGTGTGCCTGCCCCTCCCCACTCCTGCTGCAATCTGTGGCTGGGTTGGGGCTGGTGGCGAGCAACTGGATGCGAAGCTGGCAGTGGGGGGGAGGTGCAGTGTTGGTGCCCCCTTGCTTCTGCACTGGGCATTTCCCCCCCACATGGCCACCAACCACCCCCCAGTCGGTACACCACTGCGTGTACAGCACTAAAAAGTTATTGCTCAGCATGATTTTTTTATTTGCGTGGCCATGCATGAGCACAGCATAGAGAGAACACTGACTGCCATGGCTGCAAACGGTGGAAACTGATCCTGTTAGCAAGTATTAAGATGTTCAGAGCAAGCATATGAGATTTGGCTGCTTAGAGTAGTTAAGCTTTCCTGACTGGATTTAGGCAGGCGCTAGATCTTAAGTTGTACAGGCTGGGCTAATTTGATGCATGCAGAGAAGAGAACTCAAGGCATTTGGGAAGACAGGAGTTCAGGTGCTTCAGGAATTACTCAGCAGTTGAGTGTGGGGGGGGTTGGGTTGTTATTTCAGGCTTAGGCACTTCAGTTCTGCCTAGTTCCTGATTTCGGCACCCAGGTGCTTTACAGATCCTGGTTTTAAGGCTCTTAAAAATGTTGGTGGCATAAACTGCAAAAGACTTGTCACCACTTTAGGGCCACTTGAATAATTTTTATGGTTAACTCTGAATTTTCATAATCAAGTTGCAGTAACACTGTAGCCCCAATAAATATGAGTACCATTTTGCTAGATTTTATGCCAATACTTGTGGCAACAGGCCTTGTCCTGAGAAGTTTATTGTATTTAAGTTTATATGTGTAATATTAATAAGTCTTTGTATGTGTTGCCTATTGTAATTTTCATGTTTTCCTTCCTCCTCTTTTCTCATTGCTTTTGCATGCAATTTTCCAGGGCAGTAGGTGTGACATGCTTTTTGCAAACATCATAGAATTAATAGAAAATTAGGATTGAAAGGGTCCTCAGGAAAGTCATCTAGTCTATCACCCTGCTTAAAGCAGGACCATCCCCAACTAGATCATTCCAGCCAGGGCTTTGTTGAGCCGGGCCTTAAAAACCTCCAGGGATGGAGATTGCACCACCTCTCAAGCTAACTTGTTCCAGTGCTTCACCACTCCCCTTGCAAGAGAGTTTTACTAGTATCCAACCTAAATTTCCCTTGCTGCAACTGGAGACCAGTGCTTCTTGTTCCGTCATCTGCTACTGCTGAGAACAGTCCATCTCCATCCTCTTTAACACCCCCCTTCAGGTAGCTGAAGGTTGCTATCAAATCCCCCCTCAGTCTTTTCTTCTCCAGACTAAATAAACCCAGTTCCCTCAGCCTCTCCTCACAACTCCAGCCCCCTAAACATTTTTGTTGCCTTCCACTAGACTCTCTCCAACTTGTCCATATCCTTTCTGTAGTGGGAGGCACCAACACTGGATACAGTACTCCAGTGGCCTCACCAGTGCAAAATAGGGGGGAATAATCACTTCCCTTGATCTGCTGGCAAAGCTCCTACTAATACAGCCCAATATGCCGTTGGCCGTCTTGGCAACAAGGGCACATTGTTGACTCATATCCACATGGACGATTGGTGCCACCTTAAGTCATGGAGGGCATGTGCCCCCCCCCCAGCAACCAGTCAGCAACCAGGGGGTGGGAGGAGGTCCCCTGCGGCCAATCTCGCCAACCGGGAAGCAGCTGCAGTGCTCCCAGAAGTGGTCATGGCACTTCATCCAGCACTTACAGGGAGGGCACCAGTGCTCCCACGTGCCCCCCCTCCCCGCATCGCCTAAGCAGGAAGCTTGGCCTGTCGGGGTGCATCAGCGCTCTCGGGGGGTGCACGTGTGCCCCCATGCACCCTCTATGCATCGCCACTATATATCCATATTATTGTCCACTGTAACTCCCAGGTCCTTTTTCTGCAGAACTGCTGCTTAGCTAGTTCATAGTTTCATAGTTTCATAGATTTAGGGTCGGAAG